CAGTCCACAAAGCCCAAATGTTTGGGAAACTCTGGATTAGATTAGCAAAGGAGCAGCCTCAAGATCTCAATAGTAGCCTCAGACCCTCATGCCTGATGACAAAGCATGACAAAGGAGTTCTGGACGAGCTCAACCTTATTTCCATAATGTGGGTGCCTTTGCAGGGGAGCCCCATCTTTTTGAGCCTGCCAAGTGTAATTCTCTAAAAGCTGGGACCTTCAGCATGCTGCTGGATCTGATTGGGATGGGAAGATGTAACTGGGAAGAAGTGGTCCCTCAGAGAACTTGGCCCTTGCCATGAAAGGCTTCAAAGGTCAAAGCCAGCACCCTCAACTGGATGCAGAAGCAGGCTGGTGACCAATGGTGCTCACAGTGCAAAAGTGTCACCTGTGCTATTCTAGAGACATACATAACTGATCATGCTATCCTTGAAGAGTATCAAGAAGCTTCAGGCTGGTGAAAAATGTTTCACCAGCCTGAAGCTTCTTGATACTCTTCAAGGGTCCTATGTAGAGCACATTGTAGTAATCCAATTGGGAGGTGACCAGGGCATGAGTAACTATGAGCTGAGCTCTCCAATTCAGGAACACAACTGGTGCACAACCAGTGGTGGATTAAGGCTCACTGGTGCCCTAAGCACTGACAAATCTTGGTGCCCCCCCTCTTTTGTACATACTGTACAAATCTTCATTGGTTTTTTTTTCCTTTCTCAACTTTGTGGTGCCCCCTTGGGCCTCGTGCCCGAAACAGGTGCTTAATCTGCTTAATGGTTAATATACCACTGTCCACAACCTGAAAGCATGCAAAAGCCCTTACAGGCACATCTACTCATCAGAAGGAGTTGTGAGCCCAAAGCAGTAGTGGGTTTCAAAATTTTTAGAACCTCTTCTATAGGTGTGACCTGCTTTGTGGGAGTGGCTTACCGGCCATGTGACTGGTTGGGAATGGCTTGCCAGCCATGCGACTGGGTGGGCGTGGCTAACTTGAAAATGTGGTGAAACTCACTTAACAACGCTCTTGCTTAGCAACCAAAATGTTGGCTCAGAAACTCTGGCATTTGAAGCAATCAAGTCTTAAAGCTGTCAAGTTACAAGACCCTTGCACCCCTAACCCTTTAGGGAAAAAAAACCCAGGGGTGTTCAAACTTGACAGCTTTAAGATTTGTGGACTTCAACTCCCAGAATTCCTCCTCTCGCTCTTCATCTTGATGTGCCGAGGGGCAGGGGGGAGGGAGCTGGAACCGGTTCTAAATGGCACTGTAGATTTGTGGAACCTCATCTATAAAAGAGGTTAGAATTGGCAGGAACCCACCCCTGGTCCAAAAGGACTCTCACGTTGCACACCAGGTCTGTCTGAGGCACTGCAACTCTATCCACCACCAAAAGACTGCATAATTCTGGAAAAGGCCTTGCCACGATTCATCTGAGGTCTTCTGATGCTTTCCACCTCCTCCAACTGCGTCCCCCCTCCAATTATTTGCCGCCTGTAAAGCCCCCACCCAGCTTTCCTTTGGTTTTTTCTTTTCCCACTGGGACGCCGCGTGCTCCTCAAGGAATATCCCGCCCCCGGGGCTGTTCCAATCCGTCGGTCTCGCAGTCGCAAGCAAGCCCCGGAGCAGCTCCGGCCAAAGCGGGGAAAGCAAACCGGTCCCGCACATCCCGCCTCTCTCATCGGCGCGCCCCAGTCTGGCGGGACGAGGTTTCGCCCCGCCGTCACCTGACCTAACCTGGCGGTTTGCTGCCGGAGCTGCCCGGAAGGGAGAATTAGGCTGAGCAGAAGGCGCAGAAAGGCGAGGGCGGGGAAGGGGGAGGAGAG